TAAAGAGGCTGTACCAATTATGTTTTATTCTTCCTGCAGTGTTTTATTCTATGATAAACAACGACCACGAGTCGTTTATTTCTTAGATAAATATACTCCACGGCATCATGTGATAATCTCACACAGGATGAGATTGTTCAGCTGAATAATGACAGATAGACCCTCATAATGACAGACAGACCTTCATAATGACAGATAGAACCTCAAAATGACAGACAGGCATTCATAATGACAGACAGACCCTCATAATGACAGACAGACCTTCATAATGACAGATAGACCCTCAAAATGACAGACAGGCATTCATAATGACAGACATACCTTCATAATGACAGACAGACCCTCATAATGACAGACATACCTTCATAATGACAGATAGACCCTCATGACAGATAGACCCTCATAATGACATACCCTCATACTGACAGACAGGCCCTCATGACAGACAGGCCCTCATGACAGACATACCTTCATAATGACAGACATACCTTCATAATGACAGACAGACCCTCATAATGACAGATAGACCCTCATAATGACATACCCTCATACTGACAGACAGACCCTCATAATTACAGATAGACCCTCATAGTGACAGATAGACCCTCATAATGACATACCCTCATACTGACAGATAGACCCTCATAATGACAAAGACCCTCATGACAGACATACCTTCATAATGACAGACATACCTTCATAATGACAGATAGACCCTCATAATGACAGATAGACCCTCATAATGACATACCCTCATACTGACAGACAGACCCTCATAATTACAGATAGACCCTCATAGTGACAGATAGACCCTCATAATGACATACCCTCATACTGACAGACAGACCCTCATAATGACAGACTGTCAAAATGAAAGATAGACCCTCATAATGACAGATATATAGACCTTCATACTGACAGAAAGACCTTCATAATGACAGATAGACCCTAATAATGACAGACATACCCTCATAATGACAGACAGACCCTCATAATGACAGATAGACCCTCATAATGACAGATAGACCCTCATAATGACAGATAGACCATCATAATGACAGACAGACCCTCATACTGACAGACCCTCATAATGACAGACAGACCCTCATAATGACAGACATACCCTCATAATGACAGACATACCCTCATAATGACAGACAGACCCTCATAATGACAGACAGACCCTCATAATGACAAATAGACCCTCATAATGACAGATAGACCCTCATAATGACAGACAGACAGACCCTCATAAATGACATACCCTCATAATAACAGATATACCCTCATAATGACACACAGACCCTAATACTGACAGACAGACCCTCATAATGACATACCCTCATAATAACAGATAGACCCTCATAATGACACACAGACCCTCATAATGACAGACAGACCCTCATAATGACAGACAGACCCTCATACTGACAGACAGACCCTTATATGCATACTTACAGAACTGAATACACTGGGTCAAGTTAGGTCTTAAAAAATATATGACAAATAAATTAATAACGGTCATAAATATGTTTTATTCAACACTGTGACAGGCCGTTCTAATGAGAGAAGTTTTTTACATAAACATAAATATCGTTGAAAGTAAGTTGTTTTCTTTTTCATGATGAGACATTCAACTTGACTAATTGTTTATGGTTTTCATGTGAATGTGCACGATAAAACACAAACACACACATATATGTGTGCACAATGTTTACAAGTGAACATGATGAAACTACCTATGTTCACATGCCTGTATCTATGCTACTCAAAAGAAGTTAAAGAACACCAGGTTTTTTTCATGACTATTGATAATTTTGCTTGCCATGACAGATTAACTGTAGAAATATGAAAGAATCAGGTGTTCTTTAACATCTTTTTGAGTAGTATAATGATATGACAATTAATGACGAACATTATATGATTAAGGTGCTTTCTGCCCAACACAAGTGCAAATTTCACATTATGAGAAAAGGTTGAAAAACAATTCCCGAAAAGTTTTGAAAGAGTTCATATGACTGACAATTTCAATTTTTCTTTTCACACTTTCTAGTTTTGGACTTTCCAGTGGGAGGACTCTAAAATAGTGAAAAAAGTCAAGTGTATGTACAGCCGTTTCACCATGAGCAGGGGCCACGGGTAGCCCAGTTGTCTAAGGCACCACGATTCGCTGTGCAGAGTCGTGTCCCTTGTGTACGCCAGAAACCTATGATTGTGGGTTTGAATCCGGGTTTGCCCCGATTATGTTTCTAGGTTCGTCAGCACCATACCCGTGCTTGTGGGTTTCACCGAAGTGGTAAACGTCTGAGACCTGCATCACTTCGGGCTTTCCTCTTACATTAAGCTGACACACCACGATATAACTGGAATACTGTTAAAAGCAGCGTTAAACCCAACTCACTCACTGACTCACTCACCATGAGCAGGATCTTGATCCAAACTGCTTGTTTTAGATCACAAATTTCTTCTTTGCCTTTGAAAAGTCATAACCCTATTCAACATAATGAGTGCCCTTATTAGAAAGCTCTTATTAGAATATTATTTTGGTGGAAAAAACAACAGAGTTGAAATATCGTAAATTTCGTTGTTAATGCTGACAGCCTGAAATGTTTATAAACGTCAGATATATTTTTCCAGAATTTGATTGTGCACAAGTGCGTATTATACACGAATAAATAAGTCTTGTGTACATTGATCAATTGGAAGGGGTGCTAATTGGGACTGTTCACTAGCCATTATATTAGCAAATATCGCTGTGGGCGCTTATTAGAGAGGGCACTTATCATGTCAAATACGGTATATTGTATGATATTCAAAGTTGAATACAACAAGACAAATGTCTAGTATTCAGTCCTTTGAACTCTTCCAGAAAGTTTCATAGCAAGTTTCCAAAGGTTTCCCCAAGTTTAGATTTGTCAATTTTATTGGACAAAAAAAATAGTCCTCACAACCCATCCTTGTTTTCACAATGTCAGTAGTAGGTATCCCATGTCAACAATACACCTTAATTAATGGAATTCAACAGAAAAGACATACGGACACCAGAATATATACCTAACTTGACCAGAAAGAAGGTCTGGACATGACAAGTTACTGTGCAGAGTTGTGTCCCTCAGCCCTGAGTCTGACTTTTAGAGAAATCACTGGTGTTTAGAATATTTATTTATTCCTATACATAGTGAGTGAGTGTGTATGTTTTTACGCCGCTTTAAGCAATATTCCTGCAAATCACGGCGGGGGACACCAGAAATGGGCTTCACACATTGTACCCATGTCGGGAATCGAACCCGGGTCTTCAGCGTGAGGCTACCATTAGGCTACCAGACCGCCCCTCCCATACACAGAATGATATCATTTTCTACGAGAAAAAGTGAGGGATCATTTGATTGCTCTAGGATGGGCCAAGCAATCTTAGGAGACAAGGCATAAAATTATCAATTCTTTTAATGTTCACTTAAAATTATTTTTTGTCCATACATGGGATAAAATTTGCAATTTGTTTTTCTTGGGTTTTTCGTGTGTTTCCTTAAGTCCAATTGTTTCAGCAAATCCCTGGAGTTGGGTTTAACGCTGCTTTTAACAATATTCCAGTTATACCGCCGCGTGTCAGCTTAATGTGGGAGGAAAGACCGAAGTGATGCAGGTCTCAGACGTTTACCACTTCGGTGAAACCCACGAGCATGGGTATGGTGCTGACAAACCTAGAAACATAATCAGGGCGAACCGGGATTCGAACCCACAATCATAGGTTTCTGGCGTGCCCAAGGGACGCAACTCTGCACAGCGAATCGCGGCGCCTTAGACGACTGGGCCACCCGTTCCCCCACATATACATCAGAAACACAAGAACCCACTGTACAACATCCCGGTTCACTACCAGCTGATGCAGTCTGGCGCATGTCTGGCTTCTCAAGTAAAAACCAAAAATAGTGACATCAGCACCAGAGTCCATCTGTCTTTGATGGATTTTTTATTCATAATTATCTGAGAAAAGGATAAAACATTTAAAGAATAAATCCTGTCAGTTTTGGATAAATAAATAATTGCACAAACACTCAGCAATGTTCAGCTACATGACCATGGTCTGTAAATAATCGAATTTGGATCAGACAATCCAGTGATTCATATCATGAGCATCGATCTATGTAGTTGGGATATGATGTCATGCATCAACTGAGTCAGCGGGCCTGACCACCCAATCCCGCTAGTCGCCTCTTGATGGCACGATACATGTGCTCGTGGGTCTAGTGGTGTAACAATACGGCGATACAGTATTGTATCCCGATGCACAGCCCACGATACGATGCATCGATTTGGAAAGCATGTATCGCGATACATACGATATTTTCATAACACAGTTTTACTTACCCGGTACTTTTAAACATGAAATATGTTTAACAGTTTCAAAGCCAGTTTGTTGTTTCAGTAACACATACTGTATTGCTGACAATTTGCTATAACAGTAAATAAACACCTTATATCTTCTTCAACTGTACTTGTCACATCTTTTAGAGAGCAGAAAGACATCAACCTGGCTTAGCTCGTACCAGTAAACACTGTATCGTAATACGTATCGTATCGCGACCCTCCCGTATCGTTACACCTCTAGGGCCTACATCCAGCATCCCACTGGGGTCTTCTCCTCTGTCACTAACCTTATACCCGACATGACTTAAATAATGTTCAAAGGTAAACCCAATTCACTCACACTCTCTCTTTATCATATTATCAACTTTCATGGCAAGCATATCAGGACTTATAGCAACAGTATAGATACACATGTCTATAATTATCACGAGTGTCTTGTTCCTTGTTTACAGGCTCAACAATCCCATTGGTTAGATTCATAAACCAAGGGCAGGTAACTCTAAATAGTTTCATGCCACTGCAACATGTAGTCATGAAGTAAGACGAGTTCTATGGATGAACAACTTCTTTAATACAATTAGTGTGACGTTTTGGTGTAGATCCTAACACCTTTATCAAGCAAGTGATTGCTTGATAAAGGTGTTAGGATCGACACCGAAACGTAGCACTAATTGTAATGAAGAAGTTGTTCATCCATAGAACTCGTCTTACTTCATCACACCAACTTCTAAATGCCACTGAAAGAAACATGTAGTCATGTCTAGTGAACCTGATTTAAGAAAGATCACATTTGTCTCCATGTTGAACAATGTTCACAATCATCTTGCCAAAGGATAATGTGACAGACACTCAATGACCTGAGGATGCTACTCCCAGCATCAGACTTATTTCATGACTGCCTCTACGATATTAACCAGAGCCTTCTTGGCATCAGAATGGGGGAAAACATCTAATGCTTGGATCGCTTTTTGACCATATTCTTCACACAACGCGAGGCATTCGTTCAACACCGGGGAGGACTTGATCAAAGACACTATCTGAAACATAAGTCGTAAATGGGAATTTAATTCATTTTGAATAAATATTACATAGCATCCTTGACAACCAAGGCTATTATACCTCCCTCTGTAGTAGTACCAAAGGGTGAGATGATGTGAAATGGGGTTTAACGTCACATTCAAGATTATTGCAGCAATGCATGCATATATTATAAGCCCGATCACTAGGGGTAGATTGGGTTTTATGCGTCGGAGGCGAGTGGCATAAAACCTAACGAGGGATGCATAAAACATGTAAAACCCCATGTTCCCCGAGTGATCCTGCTACAACGAATTTATCTAACCTACATGTGACATTGAAAAAGAATTAACACAAATTCAATATTGATAGACAGCTGTTCGATTGGGCTGTGGTTATCTTGTGCTATGCAACGTGACTTCCATTGACTCGGAAAAAGTCTTTTTGCTTTGAAGTGGGGTATAAAGGATTTATTCTGCCTCTCACAAATCAACGTGCAGCCTGTATTACTCGTGGTGTGGGATAAGGGATTTAATCCCCCGCTGAGAAATTTATTACCGGGTTAAACAGTATTTTATCAAGATCACATGGACCAATCAGATCTCATCATTCTGACATGGCGGTATGATAAGTGTGTTGATGTGCTTGCTTGTACTAAAGTACTTACGGAAATGAAAAAAAACTTTTTTCGATCTCAGATTTTAAATAAATGCAGTTAATATACAAAATATATAAATATTCAAACAACTCAATTAGTACTAATTGGGCCTTGGCACAAATACAGCGTATCAAAGGTTTTTATGTCTTTTTACATGTAAAAGTGTGTAAAAATATGAAACTGAGCATAACCAAGTGTTAGTAGATCAGAGTGAATGTCTATGACCTATGACACCTTGACGACAGGTGAAAACAGGTGCTTGAAACCCACGTGCATGTAATTTGTCAGTGGTTAGTGATTTGTGAGTGGCATTGTGGGATAGTGAATCATTGTCAAAATATCAGAACGTAAAAGTAACATATTCCCTTCTCAAACAACAAATTACATGTCATTATTATTATGTACATAAACATAGCTGTTATTTTTATTGTTGTTTTGATAACTTTTTTCCAGGCTAATTTGCATAATGCCTATAGCCTGTTTCTGCCATGTCAATTTGGACTTAGATAAAACTAGCAAATCCAGACTAGTACTTTTCCAGTTGTTTTGTTATTTCGTATTTACATCTACGTAATGCTTTGTGTCGATATTAAATCCAGGTTTTTTTCATTTCCATGAGTACTTTTGTCCGGACTAATGCCAGTTTTAAAGTGCTCACCTATTCAGATACTATATGCAGTTTAACATGAATATCCCACTCAGGCACAGTATACAGACTCTGAGCCGACCAGTCCTTGTTTTAGCCCGTTAATACACAAGAAGGGGAAAGAACAAGTACCATAATTAAATTCTTTAGGTATGATGCAGCCAGTGATCAAACCAATGACCTGCTCCAGCAGACACTCTCTCTATCTACTGGACCACAGAGGTGGTCACTATTATAGGAGTAATAGTACTCATATTTAAGGTTAATATCTTGAACCTGTTCAGAACAAATAGCTTTGTTTTAAACCTGATTGTAATGACGGGGCTTAAAATATCTGTTCAAGCAAATTACTCTTGAGCGAGATAAATTCTGTGTTTAGTTAGTGTGAAGGGAGAACAAGACGATGACATCACTTCCTGAACAGTCTAACAGCAAATGGGTCCACGGTACAGATATAGTAATAATAGAAAGCAGATATAGTACCCTTGATAATAGAAGATAACACATCTATTTAACTACAAATATAAGATAGCTACCTGATAAATTCCAAAGAACAATGAAGAACGAAGTGTGGTTTATTTCATGATAAAACATTCTTCTACTTAACCACAAATACAAAACTACATACTTGATTAATTCATCTGTTATGTCATTGCATCCAGTAGATATCAGTGCTTTGTATGAGAAATTGTGGCATGCTATACTTTGGCCAAGAGACATGTAGACAAAGATTAATCAATATCCTTCACCTGCTTCTTGTCGGAGGAGCTGAGAGGAGAGGCGAATGTGTCAAGGGAGGCAACTCCATAAGTCTCTGCATACTTCATCACTGGAGCCGACACTATTGTCAGTTGATCAAGGAATTCCTCCGGGTTAAGGAATGGTGCCATGTCTTCATTGAGCTGCATTGGATAAAACAAATAGAATCGATGTACATATCAAATTGTTCTTGCCTATCAAAATACAATTTACGACAAGTCCCAGGACGAGAGTAAGCCTTCCACTAGCCCTCAGAGTTTGTATTGTAGCTAGTCCTGCTTGAACAAGACAGAAATGTTTACAAAGTTTAAATTTTCTGTCAGTTTTATTCAGTTCCAATTTACCGTATTCGACGTAATAAGCGCCCCGCTCTAATAAGCGCCCACGGCGATATTTGCTAATATATTGGCTAGTGAACAATCCTAATTGGCACCCCTTCCGTTTGATCAATGTACACAAGACTTATTTGTTCGCGTATAATACACACTTGAGTGTTATATGCTCCCTTAATTATGGGCAATTAAATTCTGGGAAAATATATCTGTCGTACATAAACATTTCAGGCTGTCAGCATAAACCATGAAATTTATCTTTCAACTCTGCTTTTTTTCACCAAAATAATATTCTAATAAGAGCCCCCTATTTCTAATTTTGAGAGCGCCCTGGGCGCTTATAACGTCGAATACGGTATACCAAAATTGAAGCATTGAGAACTGGTTCAGAATTATAACCCCCAAATGCTACTAGTCAATGAAGACGACCATCATTGTTTTTTTTAATACATGTCGTCAGCACAATTTAGAAATCTCAGGCTAGTGAACAAGCGTGAATGTTTGAGGATGGAATCAGATATTTGTAACATGTGGACTATATTGTAACCACATCACTACCCAATGAAACAATTTCTGGCGTAGGGATACAGCAGCAGCTGCACTACTTGTATCTCCATCTTGACCAGCAAACCATGGTGCTAGCACATGTTTTCCAGTTGTTTTTTGCATGAGGTGGAATCACTCTTGACAATGAAGTACCAGTGCGTCAATTACAATACTACAATATTAACCTTCAGTTCAGATGCTGTTAAACTGGTCAAACCATCAGATATGGTCTTCTACGTATATGTTTAAAACTTGAGATGAAATGATACAGCAAAATCACGATATGATACGAATCACTATATACAGGTCACGATACAATATCTATCGCGATACGTATATTTACGTTAAATCATGTGGAAACTTCTTGACTAGAAATATTTCAGAACAGGTTCAAAAGGTAAAATTAGCTTTAGACACATGTTCTTAGTGGCTGTTATTAGTGAGTGATGTATGGGTTTACACTGCTTTCAGCAATATCATGGCGGGGGACACCAGAAATGGGCTTCACACATTGTACCCATGTGGGGAATCGTGCTATTATTAGTTGTGAAATTGAAACCCTAATAACAACACATGTAATATTTGCCTGACAAAACTGCTGGGTGTCATTAAACGTGTAGTAAGTAAATTCTCTTAGCAAGTGTACCGTCTTGTATCGATACCGAAAAAAAAATGTATCGTATCGTCTCATGAAAACTCAAGATGCACTGGTGCACCGATGTATCGTTTCCCCCCTATAGGAATGTCTAAGGACACAAGTACGAACCTGTTGAACGTACGCCATGTTACACCCAAATTCAAACGCTTGTTCCTGAATGTGGTCACTATGTTTCACTAGCTCCATGGACGACTTGCAGCTCTTGGCCAACAGGCTGCCAGACGACAGGAATGTTTGTTTCAGCCAATCAGAGAATGTGACAGAGGACAGTAAAACTGGATTGCCTCTCCTGTCCTGAAGTCCTGTAAACTCAGCCTCCATTAGGTCCCCGATTGCACTTGACATGGTTTCAACCACCTGCAAAATGAGAGGAACTTTCATGTAAAGTCTGGAAGGTAATTTAAGGTACGGACGTTTACTACAATATCTGAAAAACTATCGCACCTACTCCAGTCAAAGTTGGTATGAGATTATCAAACAGTCATACATAACCGGATATTACATTTAAAGACAATCGGTGCATGAATAAAAAATCTGTCTATTTAGCTATCACTATATTTAATCAACAACCAGACCTGTTCATCACGAGTGGAACGAGCATTCATTGTAACAGCCATCTGCATAATGCTATCCCTGCGTCACAGGGCCATATGACATAGTTGAACCAATCAACTTAATTGAAAGGTTGCACGGGAATCATGCATGCACGAATACAGTGTTAGCGTTGGGCGTCTCAAGTTGAGACTCTCAACAATAATCTCATACCAACTATGACTGTAGTAGGTTCGATAGTTTTTCAGATATTGTAGTAAACATCGGTACCTTAAATTACCTTCCAAACTATACATTCAGGGATTAGATGATGTTGTTAGGAGATAACCATTATGTGTTTCAGATGTGCAGTTCTAAATGAATATTTGAATTTCGGGCATCGGATACTCAAAAACACTCACAATTCTGAAAAATGTTTACAAAAGTTATCACTATATTCCACAGAACAGACATGACATCACCCTGGCATGCTGAGATGTCATGCGAGAATGCTTTGAAGTCATGTTTTGTTTGTTCTTTAACGCCACACTCAGCAATATCACAGCTGTATGACGGTGGTCTGTAAATAATCAAGACTGGTCCAGACAATCGAGTGAATGATATCATGAGCATCTATCCACGCAATTGGGATATGATGACATGCATCAACCAAGTCAGCGAGCCTGACCACTCGATCCCGTTAGTCGCCTCTTACGACAAGCATAGTTGGCTTTTACAGCAAGCATGGGTTGCTGAAGACCTATTCTAACCCGGATCTTTACGAGTTATGAAGTCATGAAATCAGTTGATTATATATTGGTCCCGTTTATCTAATTTGAAATGACAAGCACAACAATATTTCTTCTCCAAAAACATCCAGCTACCTTTGTGTTTTTTAACTCCGCCAATCCTGTTGAGGCATTGGCCAACAGGAAGTCTCCACTTAGGACAGCCATCTTGTTTCCAAACTCCATGTCCTTGACTGGCCCATCAAGAACTGGGTCAAGGTCGGAAAGGTTGACAACTCCTTTGTGAATGAGGTTGGCTGTATGGATCATTTCTGTGACCTCTGCAAGTGACCTTTGCCTGAAAGGGGTAAAGAGGTGAGGTGAGGTAAAATTGGGTTTAACGGTGTGTCCAAGATTATTGCACTTATATAGCAACGTGCATGCACGTGTGTGTGTGGCTGCTTGTACTAGTCCGGACTGATGCCATTTATCATGCTAGCTGACTGAGATACCATGCCGCAGTTAAACATGAATACCCCACTCAGACACAGTATACTGACTCCGAGCCACCAGTCCTTGTTTTAGCCCCTTAATGACCAGCGCAAGTCAGGGTAACAACATGTACCATCTTTTCACGTCTGGTATGACGAGGCCAGGGATCGAACCCCAGACCTTCCGCTCTCTGGGCGGACGCCCTACCATTAGACCACGGAGATGGTCTGGAAGGAGTAAAGAAGGGATTCACAGCTAATATGATTCACAGTGAGAGAGTGCATGTTGTAACATGCCTCACTATTCGAGTAGTGTCGTAGTGGCCCAGGTTCATTCCAGTTACAACAAACCAGTGGTTGACAGTGTGAGCAGTGATCCTTGCCATGAGTGTACGATGACACACAAGCAGCCATGTTATACTAAATATGCTGCTCTCATAGCATGCATGGGGCTCTGAGAACATATTCTTTCTGTTCGGGCTGGGACGAGTAACTCAGGTACTCATATCTGGCGGGTACTGAGTAGCACCGGGTACCCACTAGATTACCTGGACCCATGGTTAGTCATGTGACATACTGTTTAATGACAAAACTTATCTTGAACTACATTGTTACACTACAAGTCACTAAAGTTCGAATTTCTTTCTGACTATGCACACATTCCTTTTGACTCGTACATCTGTTAGAACATGTAGAATAAAGATAAAACTTAAGTCAGCTTCAGTGTATGCATGACCAGATGGGTTTATAGTGTATCTAAATACTTTTTGCCAGGGATACAGTCAAGTAATTCCAAATCGGACATTTTGTACCCATCGCTTGAGACCTATACAGCGGGTACCTGGGTAGGGTCGGGTAATAGGGGGTTGGGTACGCGGATAGTAAATTTGAAATCATCCCAGCCCGACTCCTGCTACTTCCTATGGAAACTCTAAGGTAAGACAAGCAGGGATGTGCATGGGTTCTATTCTACCCCAGAATGGGGTGCCAGAGACCCAGGTCCCCTTTCACAAAGCAATCGTAGCTCTACGACTATCATAACTCATATACTCTAACATAAACTTACAACAGTCATAGTGCTTTGTCATACAGGACCCTACAGCCTGGTGACACTAGTCAACTTACCGTGGACATATCCCTGTGATTTTGTCCTTCTCTAGTATTTCTCCCTCTAACTTTGGCCCTGGACCTGCAGCCTTTGACAGCAGCAAGACGATCAGCCCCCGGGTCTGCAAGCCATGTTTTCCATCATACACCAGGCCTCTGAAGAATATGAACAGATTCAGGAATAGACATAATAAATGAATACAAAATGGTGAAAAAAAGCTATCTGTGTGTTATTTGAAGAAGACTGGATTCAAAGCAGTAATAGAATTTTCTTAGAACGCCTACAAGCCTGAATAGCAATAACACCCAGGGACATACAGGAACACCCCTCTAAAATGATAAACATTCTATCAGCCCTTGGGATACCTTTAACAGTAGTGATACTAACTTGCGCCAGTGGGCTATAGTGCTAATGTAATTTTTACCCCTGTAAAGGTCTTTCAGTGCCTAGTCACTGGCTTGATCATGATCCTTATAAAGCACATGCTTGAAATAATTTCTCAGTGTGATTTCACATGCCTGATTCAATTCTGAAACCCAAATAAAAGAGCTCAGCACAGTGAAGCTAACAATGCAAATGTTGTGAGGAGTAAACTGGCTTCAACTTGTTTTCAATAGGGGCAAACTGAAGAGAAAGCTTGTGTGTTTTTCTTACAGATCAGTTTTGAAACACTAACTGCCAGCTTGCTTAGATTAGAAACCAGTGTTTATCAAAGCCAAGCCTACAATATAAAAATGCCTGTCGTATAAAGTCAATTGCTTTTCCATCCAGAGTTCCTTGCGGCCAGCCAAGTACCTTTGTCACATCTTACACTGTCCATTCATGTGTTTTTCAACTGTTTCATTTTGGACAAGTCTACACATTTTGATAAACAAACGTAATGAAATGTTTAACTTTCACTGAGAAAATATTCTAAAATGTGAAAAATATTTCAAGTTGTTTATTTATCCTCCACGTCCTGTCATCGAAGCCTTACAGAGTGCTAGCAATATATGGTCACTTTGATGTGAAACTGTATATTGTCATGCTCCTCACTGTCACGATTGTAGTAGTATATCTATATAATTATGTAAAACATACTGTCCCTCTAACTATTGGTAGGTCCAAGACTTGTGTTAATTGCATTATCACAAAATACAGCTTTATCATATATGCTCTTCTGATCCTTTGGTGGAAAAGAAAGCAAATTTAACACAACCATACCAATGAGCAAGTCAGTTCAAGTGCTACAACAAATCCTGAGTGAGTAAGTATGGTTTTACGCCGCTTTTAGAAATATTCCAGCAATATCACAGCGGGGGACACCAGAAATGGGCTTCACAGATTGTACCCATGTCGGGAATCGAACCCGGGTCTTCGGCGTGACGAGCGAACACTGTAACCACTAGGCTACAACAAATCTTGACTTACCTTGCTGTTCGCAGTAATGGATGTTGTGTTCCTACAAGTTTCCTCATGTGAAGAACTACGTTAGAAATTTCATCACTGAGCAAACACCTGAGGCTCATGAAAGATGTGGGATAGCCAACGATCTTTTCAGCATTAGAAACAGCTTTATTCCAATCACTTGGCTCACTGCTGCTCCAAAGGCCGACATTTCTCTGTCCAAGATGCAATAATTTCGGCACCCGTGACCTTGGGCTGACGTAAACATTTGAGAGGTTTCGTGAAAAACTCAAGAAATGATGTCTTCCTCTCCATCTTGAATGAAAATGTTTTGTTTGATTGTTTAACGCGCGCGACAAGCACCTCAGTAGGATCCGTGAATGCGAGCACATCGTGTCTGACTACTTCCTACAAGAAACAAAACAACAAGCGGCCATGCTTGCTCGCAATATTTTTGGGAATCCCCTTCAAATCTATAAATAACTTTGTCGCCCCCATCACAATCAAATTAATTCACTTGCAACAAATTTGCTTCTTGAACATATCCACCTCGATTTAATTTGATAATGAACTATAGAAATTAATCATAGCAATCTGCTTGCATAACAAGTCAATAAATCTATATTGTTATTGTTTGACGGTGTTTAATGAAATACATCCCTGTGTAAGATTTAACATATTTCATTGTCTAAAGAGTTGGCGTATGGTACAGTTCAGTTTGTATCTTACATTCCCAATACCGATAAGAAGGAAAATTGATGTAGGAAGAATAGTTCACGGTAGACTGGGGTAAAGAGTGGCTTGCTTTGTTGAAACGCAGTTCCCGGAAAGTGTGGACATAATATTACCGGAAGCAATTACGCTTTACACCGGCAAAAATAGGTGCCCATCTGATTTGTAATCAGGTGCACTTCATCGGTGAAAAAAACCATAACATATTGGCGTACATTTTGTTTAAAATCTATAGGTAACGATGTCCCTGCTTCGTTCATTAATAAAGATCAAACGAGTAAGTATGAAGTTTATATTTACTCAAGGATTTAAATGTCAACAAAGATCAACTACGAATGAAACAGAAAGTGAAAGTAGGTCAATTCAATTCAATTCTTGGAATGACTGGGATACCGAGAAATGAGGTCAACACGCTCGATGTTATCAGTTCCGTGAAAGTCGAGGCTTGACTCCACACGTGCATTTGTTTGACAGTCTTGTTGGATATAAATCATGTAAGATTAGGAACAGAAAACAGGTAGGTTCTAGTCGTTGTCAATGTTTCATTTGGTATTTTCTCAAATTATCTATTTTATATTTTGGTGCATACACGAACAATTCTTATTTTGAAGGCCTTTTTGTTTATTTTTTTCCTGTTGGATGTTCATGCTCAAAAAGAGTTAAAAGTATGTATTATTTTATAGTTAGATTGTGTGTTTTTGTATTCTAGTAATAGAATATTTTTTGGGGTGTTTTTTTAATTGTAACAGTACATTTAGCAAAGTCTAAGTTTAGCTTAGTCTACCTGTGTGGAATAATGAAGTATATGCTTTAAAAAAATGAAGCTGTACATTCCTACAGCCTCATCTGTATCCACATAGAGTAGACCAATATAAATGACTATATTCGTATAGTGCTCTTAATATTTTATATATTGGATAGGTTTCTTTGCAAGATAGAGCCAATGGATAAAAGCGGTATTTGTTAGGTTCATTTGTGGATGAATGTGCAAATATGGAAGATGAAATAGGTATTTCTTTCAGTGTTTACAAACAAACTAGTGGTGCTGCCCTTCTCTATCAGCAATTGAGTTTTAAATTAACAATCAGGAATCTGGATACATTAATTACTGGGAAGTTCTTAAATAATTGTTAAGATAAATAATTGTCTGAGGCATTTGACAAGTTTGGGAAACTTTGGTGATATGAATTGTGGAATCATTTAGTGAGGACACAGCAGAGTTATTTGAAGTATGTGCTTGTACGCTACTGGCTTTGGGTCTTGTCCCCAATTTATAACATTTGTATATGTCTGAAATGTGTCTGAAATGTAACTTTGTTTCATTTTGGCTTTGTGAACTATTGACTGCATCTTGTAGCATAATGACAGTCCAGGCAGACTCTAAATACCATGAATACCGATTAATGTGACGTCTCATCGACGAGTAGCTTCCCTTTGATAGAGATAGAAATTAACTAAGAAAGTCTACAGCCTGAGTAGTTACCATGGTTACAACATATAGTAACATCCCCAAAATTTGTGAAATTTTACCAACCCTTAGGAAACCTTTGCATTTGTGAAAATGGCTCAGGCAAGCAGGCTAGTGCTAATTTCTATATAAATATATTTATTTATATGTAAATACATGTACTATACAAATTTATTGTGGTTAATATATGAGTCTTGCTGTAATAAGTGTCCCTGATCAATTTTCGTGGCAAAACTGTAATTTATCTCAAAGCCCCAAACTCAGCCCAAACATTTATGTTACTTTCAGTCCTTATTTTCTTTTATATGTTACAATTCTTTTCACAGAAAAAACACAGCAGTGTTTATGGGGTATATAACTGCCTGGTAAATATTATCAATAAAGTTTTAGTTTCAGCGACATTTGGACAAAGATTTTGGTTTACAGTATTTCATTGTTACAAACAAATTGAAATTGCGCCACCTTTATGAAGTAGTTGAAGCATCCACATGGTAAATAAGGAAGAGAATTCATTGACGTCAGCGGAGACCATATGATGTCAGCTTCTTTATTATGAGGAACACAACGTTACGGAGTATATTCTTCCTCCATAAGCGTCCAGGATTGTTTGAGAATCCGTATTTATAGATCAAAATACAACAGAGGAAAAAGTAATTGTTTTGATCGCTGTTTCTAGGCATATAACCATGATAACAGTTATCTTCTCACACGCATGAATGCACACACTCCCATGTTCATATATACCGGGTACGTTATTGCAACAACAGCTGTGGTTTCAGTTGATTAATCATGTTTTGTAAGTGCGATGTTACAGATTGAAATGTCATTGACTGCAGACCAAATGTTCCTGCAATAACATTTTATTATCAACAATCTAACCATACGGTCATAGAGTCAAATTACTTGGTCTGCAATTACTGACGTGAAAGCAGTGACCATGGGTGTGTGTTTATATTGATTTACACTTTCTGTTTTGTCAGGTACTTCATTCTAGATTTCCATATGGTTACAAGGCACTCAAAATCCCATGGGCAACCATGGCATCCACTGCTGATCAGATCTACGGAATTCTGGATTCAACATTTGTAGTCCAGGATACTGGTGTCCATATTCAAGAGGTATGGTTGAAAATTATAGTTTGGAGTTGGGATTTTATGTTCTTAACAGTTCACCAGGGATTTATCTAGACCTGCTCGGAGGCCGATATTCGGGGCCAAGGCTGCAAGAAGGCAGGGGTTTACCTTGACCTGCTCAGAGGCCGATATTCAGCCCCCAGGGGTTTATCTTGACCTGTTTAGAGGCCAGTATTTTGCCCCCAGGGGCTTATCTTGACCTGCTCAGAGGCTAGTATTCGGCCCCCAGGGTTTTCCTTGACCTGTTTAGAGGCCAGTTTTCGGCCCCCAGGGGTTTACCTTGACCTGCTCAGAGGCTAGTATTCGGCCCCCAGGGTTTACCTTGACCTGTTTAGAGGCCAGCATCCTCCAGCCCCCAGGGGTTTATCTTGACCTGCTCAGAGGCTAGTATTCGGCCCCCAGGGTTTACCTTGACCTGCTCAGAGGCTAGTATTCGGCCCCCAGGGTTTTCCTTGACCTGTTTAGAGGCCAGTTTTCAGCCCCCAGGGGTTTACCTTGACCTGCTCAGAGGCTAGTATTCGGCCCCCAGGGTTTACCTTGACCTGTTTAGAGGCCAGTATCCTCCAGCCCCCAGGGGTTTATCTTGACCTGCTCAGAGGCTATTATTCGGCCCCCAGGGTTTACCTTGACCTGCTCAGAGGCTAGTATTCGGCCCCCAGGGTTTACCTTGACCTGTTTAGAGGCCAGTATCCAGCCCCCAGGGGTTTATCTTGACCTGCTCAGAGGCCAGTATTCAGCCCCCAGGGGTTTATCTTGACCTGTTTAGAGGCCAGTATTCAGCCCCTAGGGGTTTATCTTGACCTGTTTAGAGGCCAGTATTCAGCCCCCAGGGGTTTACCTTGACCTGCTCAGAGGCCAGTATTTGGCCCCAATGGGGTTTATCTTGACCTGCTCAGAGGCTAGTATTTGTACCCCTGGGGTTTACCTTGACCTGCTCAGAGGCCTGTATTTGGCCCCCAGGGTTTACCTTGACCTGCTCAGAGGCTAGTATTTGGCCCCCAGGGTTTACCTTGACCTGTTTAGAGGCCAGTATTTGGCCCTCAGGGGTTTATCTTGACCTGCTCAGAGGCTAGTATTTGTACCCCTGGGGTTTACTTTGGCCTGTTTAGAGGCCAGTATTTGGCCCCCAGGGTTTACCTTGACCTGTTTAGTGGCCAGTATTGCAAACCACATGTGTTGCATGTGCTCCAGTGTAAGGCAGGACCAGAGGTGTCAAGGTGCCGAACGCCGTCACGCTTCCAAATACTCCCGGAGGCCGCCGCTGCTTAACTTCCCCTGAACAGGTCCATGTGCCAGCCTATGTATGTTTGCTGGTAATGATGTCCTAGAATCGTGTTAGAATAAACACAACACATGTTTAAGAGTTCTCAATGAAAAAATGATTAATACCAGCTAATTTTGCAATTCATGTAAATTATGTATGCAGATTCACAACCAACTTATATTATGGGTAACATAATTTTACTAGGGCCTGCAAAAAAGTTCGAAAATCGGAATTATCATCGATGGGAAGAAATATTAACGATTATCGATATGAAAATTGTGTCATCAATAATACCTTACATAAACTATTGTGAAGAAATAAAGTTTAGATTTACCAAAACAGACTTGTTATTGTCAATAATGTTAACTGCTGAAGATGGAAAGTAACTGCTTTTGTTATATCTCAAATGTCCACAAAGTCATCCATGCAAAAATGTGCACCACACACCAGTGGAGTGAACTATGTTGATTTCTGTATATTGTTTTTGCGTATTTGCTCAAAGATACTTCTCCGATATTTATTGATAATTGATCGATATTTATCGATTATCGATCTCTATGATCTGTTTCGATAGCCAACCCTAATTTTTACACAACTCTAATAGATGAAAAGATGCACAAAATATTCAACACGATGAGTCGTACAGCTGTCATCATTACGAAATACAAAGCGAATCGGATCATTGACTCTGATAGTGAGAAACATGAAGCCCGGCTGTTAATGCTTAATCAGTACGTTATAAACAAAATATTTTTGTTATGGTCAAGCGTGTATTGGTGAAGGCTTTCTTGATGAAGCCCCATCACTGCTTTACAGCTTGAAACATACTGTATTCGACGTAATAAGCGCCCAGGGGGCTCTCAAAATTAGAAATAGGGGGCTCTTATTAGACTATTATTTTGGTGAAAAAACCCAGATATTTTTGTTATGGTCAAGCGTGTATTGGTGAAGGCTTTCTTGATGAAGCTCCATCACTGCTTTACATCTTGAAACATACCGTTTTCGACGTTATAAGCGCAGAGGGCGCTCTCAAAATTAGAAATAGGGGGCTCTTATTAGAATATTATTTTGGTGAAAAAAAACAGTTGAAAGATAAATTTCATTGTTTATGCTGATGGTCTGAACTGTATATATACGACAGATATATTTTTCCAGAATTTAATTGCCTATAATTAAGGGTGCATATAACACACGAGTGCGTACTATACACGAATAAATATGTCTTGCGTACATTGATCAATCGGAAGGGATGCTAATTGGGATTGTTCACTTGCAAATATATAAGCAAATATCGCCGTGGGCACTTATTAGAGCGGGGCGCTTATTACGTGGAATACGGTAATTCAAGACATCAATCACCAAATTATGAAAGATGTTCCCATACAGTTAGTTGAGCATACATACGCTCAATATTGCCACCTCTCCTGTTGAGTAACTATTTTGTTATGCGTTTCAGTTGGTTGTATAGCTGTCAGTGGCATGAAGTCACACATACTCAATGAAATTGTGCAATACATGCCTTCAGGTATAAAATAGTGATATAAAAATTACAAGAATTGACTTTCACTTTAGGTGAATTCATCATGTTCATTTGAGTATGAACTTCCATAGAGTGAGGGCCAAACAGTGTATGAACGTCACAAGCTCTAACATTCATACAGTTTGACCGTCTGAGACAAACACAGCCCATCTTCTATAAAGAGGCAGGCAGGAATTTGGAACACTGATATGACGATTTTAGAAGGAAATAGTGTTTCATTTCAGTTCCAGATAATTTTTTTGGCAATCGATTATGTACTCACCATTTATCATTCACATTGGGTCTTGATATTTTTCTTTGGGTATTCAATATATTTGTACTCCATTGGGTCCAGTTTGGGTATATTATGCCAAATATTTTTGGGTATTGACTTCTACATGTTCTAGTTTGTATCTGCCCCAAATGTCTAACATTTGGCATAATCTCACTACTGTGACATAATTTATGTAATACATGTCTAATTAACAATAAATGAGACATAGAGCCCTTTTTATGCTTTATTCACTGAGTTGATGTATGTGTGATGCCCTCCGCCCCTACTGAAAAGCAGCCAGTCCAAGAAATAAATTAAACATAAATATATTTTTTATTATTATGTCTCTCACTAGTTACGTAGACCCTCTTACACATAACTTCCATGTCTACATCACTATCAGTGATTCAAGAAGCCATCTGCATTTTAACTCCATGGCTGAATGACATAAATAAATAAATGTATGATTGACATAATTCTTTGTTTTCATTTTTATTTCAACCGATCGTGTGGAACAACTGGATTAAATCTGTGAAACGTAAAATTAAAAAACTCTGCCCTTATAATCGGACCTAATCGGTAAAGAAATACAAGTTTGCAAGGTGACGGGGGATTCGTTGGGAAGTTTGGCAAAGTGTTGCTATACTATTATCCTTTTGAATTTTGTCATGCATATTTATATGAAAGCATCTCAGAATTAATTGGAATTAAATTAAATAGAATTAAAATAACAACAGAATATATTAATTCTGTCACACATACATATTTGTATTTTATGGTCATAAACATAGTAAGGCCCCCCAAAAAATTGACTTAACGTGGGGCATGTGATGTCGAAAACATACCTGTCTGTGATCACAATTGCCTATCCCGGGCACTTGGACAGACAGGAGTTTGAACACTGGTTAAGGTGATTTCTTTTGCAAATATTTTATGCAAATATGCAGCTTATCGGAACACAGTAAACCTATAGAGTCGGCATAGGTTAAACTAAAAACAGTTTTTTTTGGTCTTGAGATAAAACCACTAAATAGCCACTGCTCGTAGGCAAAAGGCAAATATGATACACAGGTCAGACCACAAGAGATCATGACGTACAAAATGTATACATGTGCAAGATTGGTACAGCAATACAATTATTGTACATGTTGTTTAAACAAAACTGTGTACATTGCACAGTTGCAGCTAATACTAGATGATCAGATTTTGCAGTGAAAAAAATGAGCTAACATTGATAACACTGTATTGACAGTATCCAAATCTTTGAGATAACTGAAATAGGGACAAGAATATTTCTTTTTCTTTTATCTGAAGCCAGGTAGGCAAGATCTGAGTGATCAGGCTTATGACAAGATTTGAAAGTTGACATGCAGTTATGCCAGTAGCGACATTCAGTTCTACGAAAGCCACTGAAACAAACCCTGGTTTCTAGGAAATGGTTGAAATTGGGTCAGTGAGCTCGCTGTCAGCGTCATTGATCAGGCATGTTTGTATAAATAGATAGTCCACCCCTCATAGCCAGTTTCCTGCCTGATTGTTGGTGTTCATTGCTTTTTTGTATGAGTTAAATTTTGATGTAGAGGCGGTGTGTTAATTGTGTTATGCGATAGAGGTGAGGGAGTTCCCCCAACCCAACTGGCCACTGTTTGGTACGGATGTTTGGTTTCAAGTTTATTTTGTGTGTATATTTTGTTTCATTTATCCTACCTGTGTTCTTTTCAGGATAGTACTATCCAGTAACCCAAACTTGTCAGGACAATTGGGAGCTGTAGGATAGCCTAGTGGTTAAAGCATTTGCTTGTTATGACAAAGACCTGGGTGTGATTCTCCACATGGGTACAATGTCTGAAGCCCATTTTTGGTGTCATCCGCCGTGATATTGCTGGAATATTGCTGAAAGCAGTGTAAAACCATACTCACTCACTCAC